GAATATTACACTTCTCAAAAGTCAAACGGTTCACTCTCGATGTCCGATTATTGAGGGAGAATAAAAATATCTTAAATACTGACATACAATATCAACCCAATGTGAGGATATCTTAAATATTGAGATAAAATATCAGAAAAAATTGTACTAATAATCCCTAAATATTTTAAATGAAACTAGTTTGTCATCAATAATTCATTATAGTGTCACAATTATACCTCAATCACAAACATTTTTTTAGAGAGCATATGTCCTCTTTGTCCTCACAATTTTCGGTTGTGTTTATCAAGATTCAAACTCAAGATGATGTTGGGTTTGAATATTGGAGAACGCGATCGAAAATCGTGAGTTGTAAAAGAACAAATGATCTTCCAATACAGATAGTTCGTATGATATAACAATTTGGAAATGAGACTTAGGTCGTTACTTTATGAAGCTACGTGTTACAATATGGGTCCCGGTAGTGTTACAATTTAACGACTAGAACAATTTTCATCATAGAAGATTGATTGTGCAATGAAATGTCATGACTAAATCTATTTTTGAAAAATGTTGAGAGAAAAACTTTGTACTAGAACAATAATTAGACACTAGTGATGCAATTTTTCGAATAATATCTACCCAAAGTGCCCCTAATGTGTGGATAACATTATCCTGACCTAATGTGTGGATATGATCAATTTGATATCTCCATATCCCTATAATAATTTCATTCCTTCTCTCAAAACCTCAATTTTTTGCACAGTTTTTGCTTCAATTTTCATGGCTTCCCTCACTAACTTCTTAGCAAAACCCCTTCAAAATCTTGTTTCCCTTACAAAATTTACCCCTTTTCCTTCCCCTTTTCCCACCAGTTTTCCACCCTCCCCTAAACCTAAACAGTTTCCGTCAAATTTGGAAACAAATTTCAGAGGTTGCAGTTTCATCCCAAAAGCTGCAGCAGCCTCAGGTGTGAAAAAAGTAAGCAGCGATGAGAGAGTACAGCAAGTCCACAGTATTGAAGAATTTGATGAAGCCCTACGTGCCGCGAAAGACCGGCTTGTCGTTGTAGAATATGCAGCGAGCCATAGTTTTCAGAGCAGCAAGATCTACCCTTTCATGGTCGACTTAAGTCGAACATGCAACGACGTAGATTTTCTTCTCGTAATGGGGGACGAGAACGAAAAAACCCGAGAACTTTGCAAAAGAGAGAAAATAGAACAAGTCCCCCATTTCAGTTTCTACAAAAACATGGAGAAAATCCATGAAGAAGAAGGCATAGGCCCCGATCAACTCATGGGGGATGTTTTATACTACGGTGACAGCCATTCTGCTGTGGTGCAGCTGCATTCTAGAGAAGATGTGGAGCGTCTGATTGATCAAAACAAAGTTGATCACAAATTGTTGGTTCTTGATGTGGGACTGAAGCATTGTGGGCCATGTGTTAAGGTTTATCCAACGGTGGTTAAGCTGTCGAGACAGATGAGCGATACTGTCGTATTTGCAAGAATGAATGGGGATGAAAATGAGAGTTGCATGCAATTCTTGAGGGACATGAATGTCATTGAAGTGCCAACATTTGTGTTCATAAGAGATGGGGAGATTTGTGGAAGATATGTTGGATCTGGTAAAGGAGAGCTTATTGGAGAGATTCTTCGATACCAAGGAGTTCGTGTAACTTATTAATTATAATTAAGTAACTAATAGAAAAAAGTTGATTATTAAGTAGGAAATGATTGTGGTTGTATGTGGCAAAGGAAGTTTTGGAGGTGGGTTCTTGGTTAATGAAAAATTTGAGTTCATAATTGAATGAGTTGTTGTATAATTAATTATAAGTCTCTTTGTGAACACAAAAATAAATTGTCATAAAAGTCATCTTTGGCTTTTTTTATTTTTTGCACTATGTTTATGTTATTTATAAAAATTGCAGAAATTATTAATAATTATATTTGCTGAAAAAATTGCATTTTGTAGTTTGAATCATTTTTTGAAAAGAGAAGAATTATTATGGAGAGTGAAAAGATATATCACTTCTCTATAAAAATAATAATAATCTAATTTAATTCTTTGTAACATAACAAAAAGTTTTAAAATTTCTTGTTTTACAAGCTTATATATAAATTAAACTTAGCTTTGATAAGTTTAATTTTCATCTGGAACAATATGATCAAATAGTGTGTGACATTTTAATTAAAAAATGACATAACATATCACTTTTCGATAAGAATTTGACGAAAGCATATTGAGGGATAAAATGATAGGAAGTATCTCACGACACTTGGTGAACGATTATTGATACAACAAGATAATTTCCGATTATAAATAAATATAATACTTTAAAAATTTGAGAACTCTAATTATTTTGAAGTGTGCAACATGTCATTTGTTCCTTTGCCGATTAACAAGAATTAGACAAAATGACATGATTAGAAACTTGTCCTTTATCCCCACGTCAATGTTGTGCTTCGCAAATAATTTAGCTAAGACAACTCTCTCACTAGAGGTGTCAATCCGGGTGGTCCGGATCGGATCGGCCCTTCAACATGTGAGTCCGGTAATGGTCCGCGTGAAAAAAAGTCTGCCCGCTGCGGGTTTCGGGCCGGTTACGGGTCGACCCACAATTTTGGACTGCAACCCAGGCCCGCCCGCTGACCCATTCGAGTTGAGCCCATGCGGGTCACGGGTCGCGCGGGTTGCGATTTGACCCGTATGATTGTATAAATAAAATTATAAAAATATAGAATTTTTCATATTTATAGCAAAAAATTTTTTTTTTTT